CCTGAATCTGGTTCCTGTCGGCTGCTGAGGCCAGTCGGCGACATCTGTGTGCCTGCACCGCTGCATTAGCAGTGTGAGCCACCTCGGCACGCTATCCTGTAATCATCATTGGGAAGCTCAATATTGGTTTCGTATATTTTTATTTGTATTAGCAGTAGTATTAGTATTTATATTATTATACTCTTTTTAATTGTTACTGTTTTATTAAAGTAGTTGTAATTTTTCAACCTGTAAGTCTCTCCCTTTTCTCCTTTCCTTCTGGAGAAGGGTTAATAGAGAACACCTGTCATTCACTTCAATTGCCAGCCCGGCCTTAAAATGGTGACACAACTTAAATGGTTTTAGAATGGGAATTCTGTATTTTAAGGTTTCTTTATACACAGATTACCTGGAATGATTTTATGATGAGTTTAGTAAAATCTTGTGGAGTTTTCTTGTGGAGATTTCACAATACTGATCTATTAACTGGCTAAATGTGGTCTTTATTTTCCTTATATTGTATTATACCAAAATGTTAAAACAGTTTTTATGATGGATAATCTTAAATTTAAGAGACAACAGACAGAAATACCTAAACACAGATTTGACTTTAAAGATACATTTAAATTTCTTGATTTCGTATTTGTCCTTACATACTATATTAGTAGGCATTTTCAATCATCTGTCGCTGCTAGAATGTAGGGGGGGCGGAGGGGTGTGTGTATATAAATATACGTATGATTCCTTGTACTAATGTAAAATTCTGCTCGCACTCTAATCAAAAAGGAAGGAAATGGAAAGTTTCCATGAGGGAAACAACATTAAAATGCAGACAGATTTGTGGCATAGCACTTCATTTTAACTATTATAAACCTTTGAGTTAAGATTTTCTTACTTTTCAGGATTTAAAGCATCTGGAGATGTTTTCCTGAACCAAGTGGAAATGATATAGTGTCCACATGGCAATGCAAAACTCTGTCATGTTTCTGTCCTTGCAAATCTTCCCCAATACCATCTAGTACTTTTTAATCCTGGAAGGGGTGCTATTTTTGCATAATCATTGCTCTTGCCCTTGCTGGCAGAGAGAGTGTGTTCGTTCCTACTGCATTTTTTCCAAAGCTTGTGTAAAAGGTCGTGTTTAAACCCGTTTAGAACTCCGTAGAGGTGAACAGAAATACTAACAAGGATCCCAGTCTTCGTGGACTTCCTACGTGACAGAAGTTTTGAGATGGAAACTTTGAAATGAAAGTGATTTTAACGTACAGGTTGCACACAGCATACCTTTTCCAGTCATAAGTCTACTGGTACCTATGCTAGGTTATGTAGAAGTACCATCTGTGCTCCTGCACTGAGACATTTTGCCAGTCAACCCTGCTGTTCTGTGAAACCAATTAGGTTCACACAATTCAAGTCAATTTCTCTTACAGTATCTTCTGTAGGTAGTGTTTCAATACAGGAGCAGGGTACTAACCACGGCTCTTGACCTGAACCTGTAAGAAGAGAGAGAGAGAGAAAAAGGGGAAGATCATTACATACAGTATCAAAAGCATACATGCGGAAGATGAAAGAGGAGAGGCGGAGGAGGTGGAGCCAAGGGATGAGAGAAAAGGGTGTAAAAAGAAGAAAGGGGAAAGACGAAAGTCTAAAACTGTATCCCCCTAATATTGGTATTCGCTATGCTTGCAGTGCGAGTGATATTAAGAATATATAAAAGAAACTACTTACATGCTAAAACCTTCGTTCCTCTCTTTAATCATTGGTGGTAAAATATGTCTTCATTTTACTACATTTTAGTACATTTGTAAAAGTGTCAAATGATATTAAAGATAAAGGGTTAAGCAAGGTTCTGTGGAAGTCATAGGAACAAAATCTGGGAAGCTGAAAAATTCCATTTGCAGATTTTTGAGGAAATAGACAAATGTTTTATCTACAAAGGGTAAAAAGGTACTTCATCATTAAAAGAAAACAAAACGATCACTTTCAATGGCATTGTGAGATTCCCGATTCTAAAGTGTGAAGAGGAGAAGTCTTGTAGTAGGAAGAAGTTTTTAAAAGGGTACTTACGATTCCAGCTTTTATTTGCACAAGAAAGGTTGAAGTGAATTTTGTATTAGATCTTCAGCTGATTGCCATTTGTCTGCACGAAAAATCTTTTGTGGTTGACAGTTCATTTGCTTTTTAGGAAAGTGGATACTAACTAAGGAGTACATAATTAATAGTGCTGAAAGTGGCAGATGGCTTGATGAAACAACGTACGAATGGGGATATGAAATTGAAAAAGACACCCATTATTCACCTCAAATGCAATCTGCACCTAAAAGATGGCGCGAAGAACTGACATACTCCAGTACTCCAGGGGCCTTCCACAGATGGAAGGTTGTCCTCCCTGTTAAGGAAGGTGATAAACGAATGGCGTCTATTAGAAGGTAAGAGGATATGTTTTAAAGCTTAAATAATGAATGATAGAATGCTTATTGTATGGTTGAACGCATTTTTTTTCTTCCATCCCAGTTAATTTGGTCCATAACAACCTCCAGCTCTTCAAACTCTGAATTGTTTTCATTGACATACTTCCGTAGTTTTTATGATAAAATGACTTTAAATCTTTAACATCACTGCTTTTCTTGCCTTCCTTTGGTATAGTATCAAAAATAACATGCATTCGCATATGTTTGCATCTTAAGTAAACTACTTGCAGAAACTCTCTTCATGAGGCAAAACATATAGGCTTACATTTATTTTGTGTGGATGTTACATTTGAATAGTAACTGGAACAGGAAACATTATTTCACTTGGGTGAGTGACCTGAGCCAGCAGTGAACTATGTCTTACAGATCTGGGCCGCGCTATGACTGACCAGATCAGTTTTTGTGTCGCATCTGTGCAACAGCTTCTTGTAGTTCTGAAAACCTAATTTGTACTGTAATAGATGTTTCTGATATGATCTAAATACGGATAGTTCAGAAGGGAAAGGACAATAGTTTAAGGAAAAGCAGAGAAAAGGAAAACAACTGAAGTGCGGGAATTTTGAGACTGCTTTTTTTTTCCTCCATACTCTTCCTACTCATTTGGATTCCATAATTTAAATACTACATTGATTGCAAACAGAGCATATTAAGTACTCTCTTTTTCCAGACTGTTCCCCATACGCAAACCTGGGGATCCTTTTATTCGGTCAGAAAACACTGAAAGGTAGATATTTTTTGTTTCCAGCAAGTACTGGTTTTAGTCATAAAGACCACTGTAGCTTTGGGGAAAGTTTGATTTTTCTCTAGTATTTACAACACTCTACCTTTTTTCCCCCTTGTATGCTTTTCCTACCTTTAGTGCCTAGCTGTTGGATGGGTAAGTGTGTGAGACCAGCATAATTTTCTTTTTACATACCTGGATTATGAAAAATAAAACATAGATCCAGCATGTCAAAAGACCGTCTTTCTTCCACCATTTTTTTTTTTTGTCTGGCATCTTTTCTAAGAGATAAGAATAGTTGCAGCAGTACAACTCTGGAAATTGTCCCTGGGGAAACTCTTACATGTAATAGTGTCCCAAAGACAAACTAGTCTGGTTTTTGTGTATGATGCTGGACAGCACTAAATGGTATAAATGACTCCAAAATGAAGTAAAAAAAGTGTATGTCCTTTATGCAAATACCGTGTTGCAGTTAAGAAAAACAGTGTTCTGTTTTTGGTAAACCGCTTAATTTATTGCAAGACTTAATTGGAAGACCATTGTCATTTTGGGGAACATAATGCAGTAAATTATACTGCTGTCACCAAATTTGATCTTTGAGAAAGTGCACAGGTAAAGCTTCCTATCCGATATGTAGGAGGTATATGTAGATTTTAATTAGTAGTGTTAAATTATGAAGAGAAGGATGTCTTGTTAAGTGGACCCTTTCCTTTTCTGAAGGTTAAGTGCCCTTTTATCCTCCGAATGAAGGCTGGGCAGTGCCATACATCTAGAACCCTTATCCTCTTGCACTTGCATGCTTGTAGTTTGTGGATGATAATGTAGCTTTAGGCAGTATTAATATAATGCTGTAAATACATGTTTCCAAATATGTTTATTCAGAGTTCTTCAAGCTGGAAAGGCAACCATATGTTCACCTCAAAATGCAGAGCGCCATATAACTCATATATTCATGAATAATAAAAGTTTTGCTATGCAAAACCAAAAATGTCTCTCTGAAGCTCCATACTACCATTTGCAGTATCTTGGAGATTACCTTCTAGGGGTAAGTAAATTAAAAACTGTATCTAAAATTAGATTTTCATTTTTAACAATTTATGTCGGGTTTACTGATTACTGCAAATAATAAGGCATTAATAATAAAGGAGAACATGATCAGCCTGAGTGTTTTGTAATTTGATTAAAGGTAACACAACTTTCTAATTCTGGGACTGTTTATCCAAGAGAGGGAGGACTCATGAATGTGTATAAATACCTGAAGAGAGGGTGCAAAGAAGACAGCCAGGCTGATGTGAGTGGTGCCCCGTGACAGAACAAGAGGCAACAGGCACAAACTGAAGCACAGGAGGTTCTGTCTGAAACTCAGGAAACGCTTTTGTTTTTCACTGCACGGGTGATGGAGCACTGGAACAGGTTGCCCAAAGAGACTGCGGAGTCTCCATCCTTGGCAATGTTCAAAAGCCATCTGGGCATGTCCGTGTTTCAGAAAATGTTAGTAAATCCTTACAGCTCAAATCAAGTGATGCTCACGTATGCGAAGACTAGATTCAGCTTTGTCTCTTTCCATTTTTAGAAAACTTGTCACCATTCATGACAAAACTTCTTTCTCTTTTAGTAATCAAAAGTGTTAAATTCTTGAGAATGTAAGCTCTATATTTCTTTATTGGTGGAAAAGGATTCTCCAAAATCCCTGTAATAGCTTTCTTCTGTTGACTAAACTAGAACATGAGACAGTACATCATCAGATCCACTAAGTCTTGGATGGACCTTATTTGAAAAGAGAAGCCACACTCGAAAGTCATCATTCCAGAGAGACGGAGAGTTAGGGGTTTTTTTGGAATGGCTAAGCCAGATGAAGCACACAGTGCTGTATCAAATGGTTCAGAGTGTTAGGGTTACCATTCAGCTCCAAAAGTGGATCAGAAGTTAAATTTACAGTGATGCAAAAGATAAGGCAGAGCAAGAAAACCAGTATGTTTCTCTTGCATCTTTCCATCTGAGCTATGAGGGGACATGTCACTGTTCAGTGAATTCCCTTGTATGTGTGGAATTCACTAAAATTAGAATTTTTTTCTTACGGTTTCTCTTGAGAGCGAGCGAGGTGCCTCATGAGTCAGTTTGCTTACCAGATGCACTATTCAGAATTTCTTGGTATTTTGACCTGGAACTACTCAAAGGCCTCAGAAGATTCTTTTAGTCTGGTAGTTCTTCAGACTGTGGGATGATTTTAGTCAACTGCTAATCGAAAATACTACCTTTGCAAGCAAGTAGGATCTAAAACTGTGTTTGTTACTAGGGGTAGCCTACTTCATTTGAAAATCCTTTGGATTCTTCACATCAAAGTATATACTTTGCTCTTCCCGTTTTAATGAGCGGTAAAGCTGTTACAAAAGGGTGAGAAGAGGGTTGAAAGGTCTTAATGTTTACACCCTGAATAAAATGCATCCACATGGGATCTCAGTGTGGTGCTTACCCTCTTAATGAAACTTGTTCGGGGAAACTGTTCCCTGTTACACTTTTCAGCTAAGATAGACATTTACATTTAATAGAGGAATGAGTGTCAAGTTTTTATGGCTACCTCACCTTTTATTGATCTCTGTGAGAATAAAGTGTTTCTCGCTATGCACCCTGAATTCCTCCCAGGTGTGATAACGGGTTTCCATCTTAACCAGTCCATTAACTTGCATGTATCTTTTTTTTTTTTAGATTTCATTAAAGTAACTCACCTCAGAGGCCAAGAGAGCATTAGCTTTCTATTTAAATGCATCTAAAGAACTCGGAAAACTGCCAAGACTCCTAGTCTCTTAAAAGGAAAAGAATAAAACATAGGCAATCAAATCACAGCACTTGTCCAAATGTATTAGGCTTTACCAAAGAATGTTACGGACATGCTGTTTTCTCTCCCTCCCTGAAGTACTTGGCACATAATTCATTAGAACATTCCAACTTTGTAAATTTGTAGTCCTGCTATTTGACTGCTACTTCCAGCAAAAATAAGTACCCCCCTTCCTCCCCTAAACACCCACATATATGTCCACATACTGAATTCACCAAAACACTATTATTTTTTTTCTTTCAGTGAAACTGCACTGACATTCAGAGTATTCTTGCTGTGATTTTTTTGAGCCAAGTCTTTACTTCATCTTTGTATTTCAGTATCTGTTCTTATAATCTCAACCTCATAACTCTAATGTTAAAATAGTCTGTGGGATTATCTTTAATGTTCTGATCTTACAAGGTGTCAAATTTATTGGTTCAAGATATTAAAACACATGCATGATTTTAGGGAGCTAGTCTGATACTTAAATTTAAGCAGGGACTTTAAATCCTTTATTGGATGCATGCGGGAATTCATAAAATTTTGCCAAGATGGTACTGTAAATTGTTTGACTGTAAGTATTTTTATAAGCACGTTGAAAATAATGTGCAGAAAGTGCCACATGAAGTAAAGACTATTTAATGCATCAGAGTTCGCTTATCCCTGGCTCATCAAAAGCTATTCAGAGCTCTTTTCAAGTTACCAGAGATACTTAATTCTCTTCTGTAACATGCAACAAACTCAAGATTTGTTTAGAAATATAGTTATGCCCAGGCCAAGTACTTCTGGTATGAATGATAAATTTAAGGGTAAATCTGAAAACAAGATGAAATGTGTGGTGTTTTAAACTTTATCTTGAAGACTTAAAGGTGTAAATTGATCATGACTTGCATCTTGTCCTTGCGTACTACTGTGGGTTTTTTGCCTACTGTTATTTCCCACGTTTCCCATACTTGATTCACCTTCCAGATTTAGGTGTTTGAATTGGACGGCAAGCTACGGGAAGCCTGCCACACCTGCTCCCACTAAAAAATGGCTGTCAGTACTGTGACCAAGGGGAACGCTTCATCTGTATCTACGTTCTTAGCTTGTCACACTTGCAGGGGCTGGTTTTGTAGTTACATGTGCATTTGCCTAAGACAAAGATGGTATTTTATTCTTTGTGTGTCTTTGATGAAGAGCATACATGGAAACTCTTACTGAAATGTATTGTTTTCCTATCCTGAAATAACTTTTAAATATTTTTTTGTAGTTAATTTTTACTAACAAAAATTATCTTGTGGCTTTGCTGAGAGTTTTTTCAGAATGAGTTGGAAACCAGTTTGAGAAACACTTCCTCATTCCCTGTGCTGAAGAAATAGCTGGAAATGATAGGTGGACTTAGAGAATAAATTATTAAAAAACAAACGAATGAACAAACTTTTAAATTTTATGTTACTAGTTTAGTTCAGGCTTATAGGCAAGAACTGAAAAGATTTCATTGTAGTGGCCTTTGTAAAATGAATGCATGGTCATAGTCAAATTGATGAAAAAATGTCTTTAAAAATACTTACTACATTTTTGACTAATTGAAAAGGTGTGGGCTTTTTTTTTTAGTTTTTGAAAAGTCCAAAGAGAGAATCCATTATGGAAACGCAGCTCTTGTTTCAGCCACGGGGATTGGGTCAGAGTTAAAATCAGTTAGGAAAAGTAATTGTGGGGAAGCTTACATTGATAATTCCTATGCTATAGCTTCCTACAACATCAGTGGTTTGTTTCTAAACCACCAGCTGTTTATCTGGCACATGATGTAGACCCTTAAACAATTACATATGCACACAAGGGTTCACAATAGAATATATAGAAATGGCGCATAAAAGCTGGTTTAGAGCATTAGCTTTGAAACTGAAATAAAATGGTGTTTTTTTGCTGTGCACAGAATGAAATACAAAATACTGAAGATATCCAAATGAGCTATTTCCTGGCTACACAAGAAACAGACCAAATCATGTCTAACCTGCAGCTTGCTGAAATGAAAGATGCTGTTATAAAACATATGTATTTTGCTGCAGTAAGTAACAATCAGTTAATGCTGTCTTAGCATAAGACGTATAATGTATATTATTAAATTTGTCTTTCATTATAGTAGATATTTTAACATATTTTGAAATAGTAATAATGCCTTTTAACCTGCAATGTTTAATAATCCCATATTTACTACATCTACCATTAGTTAAAATATAATTTAGTAGTGGTAATTGGTAGGCATGGGTGTGTGGAAGACATGGTGGACTACTTGAAAACTTGGTGTAATTTATGAGATAAGTAGTAGCTAATATTGTTCAACAAAATCTCTTTGGATTACAGGCTTTCTATGACTCCTCTTACTAGCTGAATTACACTAACACGTTTTCAAAACTAATCATATCGTAGAGCAAGTACTTTGTTGATTCACATGAATGTTTTTTTATTACAAGTGAAAAATAGAGCTAAATGCACTCCGCTGTTTTAATGCAGTAACATATCTAATTCTGATAAACGTGCTACATTAGTAATTAAAAACACTATTTTGTATCTAGAGAAACAACTGCTTGAGTTAGGATATATTATCTCTGTAAGTTACAGTGATGCAGATAATAGCATGTAAGTATTTTTGTAGGAGCTTGCTTACATGAAGCTCTGTATGATTTTGTAACTGCAAAATTAGGTCCTCTATGTATATTAATTTAAGTTCTTAGTAACAAAAGAAGTAGAATTTTTAAGTCTTCAATGTACACAATGTTTAAACACAAGATTAACAAATAGAAGACTCATGCTGCTTCAATCTGTACACCTTCAAATGCTGCATCTTTCATCAGTGACGTTTTATCAAGACTATACCCTCCAGACCTTTAAAAAATAGATGTGTTGTTGACTTTTCTGTATACTACACACAACAAATGCACTTATTATCAGATTATCTTTCCCTCAAGCTATTACGTAGTTATGTGCAGGTGGAGTAATCATAATCGTAAAGACAATCCCTTCTAAAAGACTTTTTTGGTGACATGTATTAGTAAGATTGTAACACTAGGCCATAACTGAACAGCAATAGTAGTAATACATTTTTGCACCAACTGCCATATCTTCACATTATAGGTAACTTGCAAGAGGGATGCGAAGTTTGCATTTTGCCTTAGAAAAACTGAAAACACTTAATATTTTTTAATATAGTTAATTGGACCAAGTGAAATAGAACTGTCCTTACATTGCAACTGCATAAACAAGAAGCGGAGAATAACAGGAAAAATGGGGAGAAAAATTGCCTGTATTATTTTCCTTTTGGGTTGCTAATCCTCTATTTCATAATTTTGCCATCCAAATATTAAAAGGATAAATATAAATAGATAGCTATGTTGAATGTTTTGCTTGAACTATGTTAACGAAATCTGCCATTTTGGGAGTTTTGTACAGTATTTAATGAATATGTTTATTGGTATCCAGTGTGTAGGTTGACTTTATCCTGTTTTACAGGCTGTTAAGCACAGGTTTGCTCAGAAAGACAGAAAGCTGATCAAATGCAATCCAGAGGTAAGGATTCTCACAAAGAGGGCTTGTTGCATATATGATTTTTTTTCTGTGAAGTTAGGCGAACATACTTTCATTGTGAAAGTAGCTATCGAAGAAACATTTTAAAATATTTATTTTATCCAAAACTCTAATAAAATTATTGAAGAGTTAAAGAGCATCACTGGAATACTGTTGAATGTTGTTCATTCTTACAACACTATCAGTACTGTCCCCTTTCTTACAAAGAAATTCTTTAATCCTGTTAATGTTAGAAGAAAGAAGCAAGGATGCCCTAATGTGATTTAGATCATCTTAAATTATTCAAACACTGTATTTATGCAGTAGCAATAAAGAGAAAGTAAACACAACTTTTTGCAGTGCTCACCTGTTTTTGCTAGTAGGGACAGACTTTAGCTAGAGGTTGACTCACTGTAGAAATAAACAGTAGTTACAGCGTAAGTCTTAAACATCATCATGCGGGTTTCAGAGTCTACTGAAGTGCAGATTGCAAATAGAATACATGTTTTCCAGTCCCGTTTTCATAATTACTCTGACTTAATTTCTTTCTTAGTACTATTTAGTTAATTTCTCGTTTTTCTTCTCATTAAGGCAAATATATGCCATAAATCAGTTACAGGTCAGCAACAGGTTTTATTAAGTCCCTGTTATATCTTCGGTAAATAAATACTTTCAAAATTTTCACTTTTCTATCTATAGTACTAAGAATAAATCTTTAAATAATGTTGAAACTTTACCTCTTAGCACTTAAAAAGCATTATATGTAGTACCTATGAGCTACTGTACTTTAGATGGTAACTTGTGTTGTTTAAAAGTTAAAATGGGAAACACTTAAAGATATCTATTAGCTTCCTCTGTTTCTCAGTAGCTGAAGATTTGGTACCTTTGAGCCGTACTACATAAATAGTTACTTGATAAATAAACGAGGTCTCAGTCTGACAAAATATGCTCTCAGGCTTCACAGAAATCTCTTCTTATCTGATTTCTTTGTATTGACACAATAAGGAAGGGAGGAGAAAAACATTTTTAAAACATGAGCACTAAAATGCCTTTGTCATCATCCAACGCTACCGTTAATGCTGTATGCATTTCTATTGCAGAACAGATTTGCATTGAATCTAATGTTAATGTTTATTGAATTTATGGGAAAAAAACCCTTAGCTTTCTTAACATGTGTAAGCTGAAATTGTTATTCTGTACTCTTGATAATACAATTTTTTGTTTGGAAATTTTAAGCCTAATTCTAATACTTTTCTTATGCATGACCTACCACTGTCTTTTATTGCTTTGTGGAATACCCATTGCTAGCCTTTGCATCTGATATGAGACTTTCATAGGCAGTATATTTATGGCTTTTGAAAATAACTCCAATAAACTTCCAGTAATACTAGCGAAGTGAAATAAAACCTACAAACTAAATTAACAGATTAGAAGTACATATTGTAGTCAGTCATCTCAGTTTGCATCTGCTAGGAAGGCTTAACTCAACTAAGTGTTCTGTATCTATCATCCTCCCTAAAATATTAATTTCTCTTTTTGTCAGCTTCTCTTCCATATTATGCTATATAAAATGCAACCTATTGTCTGTGGACTTCCATTTTTCATTAGTTTCTACTCAAATTTGTAATGGTTGTACCAGCAGTGCTTCATAAGGAACTGCTAGTTCTTCGTCAGCTAGAATGTGAGCCAGTGCAGCGTTGTACAGCTTACTTAACATTAAGACCCTACAAATAGGTGTCTCCTGATACTGAAAAAACTTTTGTCACCTCAGTTTTCTGTCATCCTTCCTTACCCTTTACAAATATGCTGAAAACCAGTTCTCTAGTTCCTCCTTATCTTGAATGTAATGAAAAAGGCCTCACACTCTCCAAAACAGCTTTGTTTTAGTATACTTTCCAAATAATGCATCTATGTTGCTGTTTCTTCTAGTACCAGAATTTTCAAGAGATAAAAAGACGGATGCTGGTAGCATGCTTGTATGTGAACAATATACTGAGTCATCTTCACACATCTTAAATCCAGGCAACAGAGGAGTTCTTTGACTGCCATTAAACAGTTTATGGTTGCTCTTTACATGTGCTGTTTGCATATAATTAACATTACAAAAGTATGAATGCAACCATTATTTCCAAAGGAAATAACGTGAAGATTTTAATAGTGCGTATATGAATGAGAAAATTGAAATAAATGTGAGTTTCAAATGCCAGATGCACAAAGACTTGATTAAAAGAAAATTGTCTAGATGAGCAGCTTTATTTATTGTTAATGTAACAACGGCATACATTAGGAATCTTGAGAAATGAAACATTTGTAGAGAAACTAATGCTAAGATGGAGCTCATTCACTAAGACTTTAGCTGAGATTTAACTATGATCATAATTTCTTTCAGAAGTTTTTTCAGGTTTGGCCTGAGCTCTTAATGTTTTTAGGTCATTACTGAAACATTTTTGGAAACTATCTCGCAAATGGCAGTGTACTGCATAGACCTCAAAACCACAATTGGACTCAAAGTCTGTGTTAATTTAAATTTTAAACTAATTTTAAAACAATTGGTAGAATGTCTTGAGTAGCTTTATCTAATGTACATTAGAAGCCAAGTTTTTTGGCAGAGATTATAAAGTACAAGTTGTCAGGGACTAAAGCAACAATAAATTTATCTAACTGTCTGATTCCCAGCTGTCTGATCAGTGATCTTCCTGACTCTACTTCTCTATGTTGTGACTCCCTGTCCCAGTTTCTTTTAATTTACCAGAGCCTTGGGCTGCGTGGTCAAACAAAATACCTGGATTTCAAAACAGAAGTTATCAGAGGGAAGCTGTGCTTCAGTTAGCAATATGGTTGCAACTGGTTTGTGCATCTTAGCTTTGGCTTGAACCTGGACTAGAGGAAAGATGTGAATAGCAGTGTAGCTGAGATCTTCCATAGCTTCTCTTTGGTATCATTAATCTGTGAAAATAGAGGTTTGGAAAGCTGAGAGTACAGACAGTAACAGGGAAATTGCAGGGCAGATACAGCATTTCATGAAAGCCATTAGATCCTTCTGGGTCCTCTGAAAGCTCGCAAAGTTAAGTGTTTTGCTGTCATGAGTGGCAGAGAATAAGAAGGAAGCCCTGTGCCATTAAGAAGATCTTCAGAGTTTTGAAATCCACTGGGATCAATACCTGTGCTATCTAGCATTAGCTGCTTCTCTGAAATGCTATATGGGAATAGAAGAACTAGGGAGATAAAACAGTTACATGGTTTATGGTTTTATAATGCGTACTCATAAATGATGTATTTCATGATTTTACATTTTTCTCTAATTTTTTTTAGCAGTTCAGTGGTACTAATTATCTTACTGTGCCAGCCATATACCGTGGGATGCACTCTGCACTTTTGGAAGTATTGACACTCCTTTGTGTACCTTGCTAGAATAAATTATAGACAAGTTACTGAGTGTGTGAATTGTAGTTTGTTTTTTAAAAGGGTAGATGTATTCAGATCTTCTAAGAAGAGAAGCACATTCTGAAACCTGTCTTTTCAATGAAAACCCAGTTCAGTAAGAGTGAAGGCCTTTCTAGATGACAGCAGCTTATTGGATCAGGCAATAAGTAATATTTCTGGTTTAATTTATAATCTTCTCCCTGTTTATTATACTACCAACATTTTACTTAAGAGATTTCCTGTTATTTCTTCTAAGTTTGGGGTTTTTTATTAAGCTGTTCTTTTACTTACAAAGATATCTCATTTCTAGGTTAAAAGTACTGACCTGTCCAGAGGCACATGGTCTATACTTGCGGGATTAGTGGAAGAGTATTTATTTCCTGATGTAATCATGGAACTTACTGCTGTTCAGAAGTACTCGACGCCTCCTGTGCAACTGCTTCATTCTCTTCTAGAATATATCCTATTGGTGAGAGATGAAGAGTAAAGTATTACAAATATTCAAGAAGTGAAAGTGTTAGGATCTTTGCTGCTGACATTGTATTTAGTGTTTTTAGTGATGTATTCACCCTTCACTCTGTATTCATCAATGTGTTTGTGTCAAAAATGGAAGAATTTAATACTTAAGGATTTTTTTAAATTATTATATATTTACAAGCTGTATGAATGTAGTTCTCTAAATACTGTGGAAGAATTGGTCCAGAATTTTTTTTGTTGCTTTTAGAAACAGCACTTGTGTGACTTTTTTTTTTTTTTAACCTAGTAGGCCACAGGTAGAGAGCTAAATTGAGAAGAAGATTTGTTCTAAGCAGCGATGCATTCACCTGGAATATCATAGTAGAGCAAGCTCTCCTTGTTTCCTTCCTTTTGTTTATAAACTGAATTTTGCTGCCTGTAGATACGCATTAAATTGCATGTTACTTCACTGATTAAATTTGGTCACTTGGGATTGTAGAGAGTGAAGAAAATACATAAACACTTAGTGATTATGAATCTTTGGCCAGTATGAAGCCACTATTATTTTCTCATTTTGTTACAGGGAAATACCGATGCAGTATTTTGTGCTAAACTTCATCACGTTTTGTACCTTGTTCTCCAACGTGATCCTCCTTGGAAGTCACCGTCTATGTTAAAGTATTATTTGGATCTTCTTCAGTGTCCTATATGTAATAAAGGCACATGGTCCTTGGTAGAGGTCCTTGTAAGGTAAGAAAGTCAGTAAGGTGTTGGATGCAATAGTTATTACATTACTCCAAACTCAAGGATGGGGAAGAAGGGTTGGAATTCTATTGTGTCAAAGTTGCATTTCACCAGAACAAGGTAAGCTATGTGAAGGTCTAGAATTGTAACTGAGATTTGGACCTTTCACTTTATGTTTCAGTAAGTGTTAGGTCATGGGCAGAGGGGTTTTTTTTGGGAAAGGAAAAACTCTACGTTTTCTTTTTAAAAATTGTTTCTTTTTTAAGCTTTCCATGAATTATAATAATTATGTACTATTGCTATTCTTGTGTGTATGTATATACATACATGCACACATATATATCTGCAGTTACAAAGCAAATTCTAGTCTTATCTTACCAAACATGAAGCTTCATATTGTATTTTGGTTTTAATCATAAACTTTACCATCTTGTTCAGAAAGTCTGATTATATCCTATACATCTATACATACAAGACTCAGTACCTAGGAGCTGTTTGGGTAGTTGGTCTATGCTTGAGAACTCATGTTTTTGTAATTTACATCAGTAGAAATTAATTTTTCCATTCATTTGGAAGAGAAACTGTACCTCTTATTACTGTCATAAAATCCTAAGTCACATTTAAATATTTCGATACAATGGTGATTACAGATAAATGAATGTGTATGATTGTAAGCATGTCTATACTCTTGAAGGGTATTGAATCACTGTACTTGAATCACTGTAATTGGACATTTAGTAGTTTTTATTAGGAACGTATCATATGGAATGGAAGTGAATTTATCTTTTAGATAAAGTATTTTATCTTTTAGTACTTAGTGGCAGAATGTGAATACCCAGCAGTTGTATACATGGTGGTTCCAGTACTCAAAATGCTAGCCAAATAAATGTGTTCATACTTTACTTCAAAATTATCTCCATCATGTTAGACAACCATTCGACTTGATCACAAACTGTAGTCCTGTCAAAATAGTATATGTGAACTGTTATCTAAACTAAGGTTTGTAGGATGTTACAATGGCTATACAAGATTACAAGACTACCTTGTAATTAAAGGATTTTAAAGAAGTTCTGTTAAATTCAGTAATTGTACAGTACCTCAAGTAGAGACAGAAAAATTAAAAACGGTTGAATTACTTAGTTTACAATCTGATACAACATATTCATCTACAACTCAAAGCCCCAGTCACAAACATGTTTCTTTTTTTTGGAAAATACAGCTTTAGAATCAGAAAAGTTAACTTTAAAATGATGAATGTTGCTGGGGAGCAAGGTATTTTCCTTGTCAAAATTGTCAAAAGTCAAAGCTGACTTTCTCACTGATAGATTGGACTATGATTTCTGTCATACAAATGGATTTTTCGGTGTTTATTTTTCAGATCTTGTCTTTGTTGCAGAACCATTTGTCATGCAGTCCCAGTTTCAGGGAGAGAAGATGAGCAGAGGGTAGTTCACAAAACTTTATTGAAGTTTTTCTTTGATTTAATAAAAGCTGAAGTAGAGTTTCTGACAAAAAGGTAGGTTTTATAGGATAATATTTTCTTACTTCTTTTTCACAATTTCACATGCATTTCTGTATCTCCAGCAGGTTATATCCTGATTTTTGTATGTCCCTAATAAGATCCTGTTCTACAGAGATGGCAGTTCAGCATTTCCTTTTATATTTCTCAGTTCTTAGTTTATTTATTGTAATTTGTGTCAGTTTTCTTCTAATCATGTTTTAAGGGCTCTAACCTTTCCCAGTCTAGTATTTCACTATATTACAAGTTTCAGTAAGCATTTAATTTTGCTCATAAAGTTTTATTTTTAGCTTTGCCATGCTTCAGTATTCATTCTTTAAGGTAGACAAGCATTTTGAACATACTGTTGGGTTTTGTTTTTTTTAATTCAGTTAACAGTTATCTTTCGTTAGGGAGACAATTGTCTTTCCTTAATTTATGGAATATAAAAAAAGTCTTGCTTTCGCTCTGCCTTTACATAGTAAAGTCTGGTGGGTTGACCCTAAGTAGAGGCCAGATGCCCACCAAAGCAGCTCCATCACTGCCCTCCTCAGCTGGACAGGGGAGACAAAATATTACAAAAGGCTCCTGGGTCAAGATAAGGACGGGGAGAGATCACTCACCATTTACCGTTGAGATCACTCACCAATTACCATCATAGGCAGAACAGACTCCACTCAGAAAAATTAATTTAATTTATAGCGATCAAAATCAGAGCAGGATAATGAGAAATAAAACCAAATCTTAAATACACCTTCCTCTTACCCTTCCCTTCTTCCTAGGCTCAGCTTCACTCCCGAATTCTCTCCCTCCTCTCCCTCAGCAGCGCTGGGGGACGGGGAATGAGATTTGGGATGAGTTGATCACCCCTTGTCTCTGCACTCCTTCCTCCTCAGAGGAGGACTACTCACCCTCTGCCCCTGCTC